GATAAAAAAAAATCTGAAGAAGGCCTAAGATTCATGTTGGATAACATGAAGAAGAATAACATAAGAATTATTGGCATTCCAGAACAGGAACAATCACACAAGCCCACAGAGGAGATAGTTGAAGAGCTTCTGGAAGAGAAATTTCCTAACATCCTAAAAAGTGAAAAGATAAGCATTCAAGAAGCTCAAAGAACCCCAGGATGGATAGACCATAAAAGACAATCACCAAGACATATAATAATCAATCTCTCCAAAATCAAAGATAAAGACAGGATCTTGAAAGCAGCCAGGGAAAAGAGAAATATAATGTACAAAGGTAAGCAAATTAGACAAAGCTTGGATTTTCAACATAAACCATGCAGGCAAGAAGGCAATGGGGAGACATATATAAAACCCTGAAAGAAAAAAAAAAAAACTACCACCCAAGAATCCTCTACCCAGCAAAGCTGTCAATCAAGTACAACGGTGTAATCAAAACATTCCAGAGTAAACAGAAGCTAAGGGATTTTGCCAAAATATACCTGGAAAAGGTCAATGAAATTTCAGAAGTCTACATGTGTGGCTTATCTGATTTATTACTTTTTGAAGTTTGCTTGCCCTCATTCCCCTTTTTTTCTCTGTTGATTTCTTATAAAATGTTCTTATAAAAACTTACTATGAACAAAGTGTAAAGGAAGAAAAGACTGATCCCTGGGGCAGAGGACAAGGGAAGTGGAGGTTCCTGAGGTCAGACACTGGCAACAAAGCAGGAATAATGACGTGAAAGGTATCCAGTAAGGTGAGTCCAGATCTCTGGGTGGTACAAGCAGTTTGTGACTGACTACTAATCAAAAGGTTGGCGGTTTAAATTCACACAGTGGCTCTATGGAAGAAAGACCTAGAGAACTGCTTCCAAGACTGCATCCAAGAAAACTCTATGGAGCAGCCCTACTCTGTAGTACTCGAAGTTGACATATATAGTAATTGACTAGACAGCACCAAGTGTTTGTCTTAGGTTGGAAGTAAGGCCTACAAAGGAAGACATGGGGTGGGGAGGAGGGGAGTAGATATGGACAGTCCTGCCTTCCAGGTGGTTCTTTCATCCATCAGCAACTTTATTCTTTTACCAGGCACTGATGCATCTTTTCCTTCAAAGTATCATGGGTGGCATTTACTTCAGGACTTTCAAAAAGTGGAATCAAGATGCATCACTGCTAATCATCTTTACACCTGTGAAAGAGACAGCTGGAAAGAAGTTTCTGATAGGACTGAATTTACATCAGCATGACTATCACAGTATCTAAAAGGGCAGAGGGTTGACCTGATAACACCATCTTGGGGTGGTGGTGGGCATGGTATAGACAGAGGGACTGAGGCATTATGGAATGGGAAGTCCGACTAAAGGCCACGTAGCTTACTGATGTGGAAATGAGTATCTTTCTTCAAAAATTATTGTAATTCTGGTTATTGTTTTCGAGTGCTTTCTTTTTTTTTCTTTTACTACTTCCCGAAGTGAGTAAAGACTTTATGATCTCTCTTTTTCTTTGACTACTTCCCAAAGTGAGCAGAGATTTTATGATCTTTCTTATTCTTTTACTACTTCCTTAAGTTAATACAGACTGTTTGACCGCTCTTCTACTTTTTACTATTTCCTGAAATGGAAATGCGCGTTTTAGAAATTTGAACAAGCCAACCGGGTAAGGGAAAAGATTGTGCGGTCAAAGCTGTAGCCAATGGGGTGAGACATAGCCTTTAGACTAGCGTCAGGGATTAAAAACCTGAGTGGACTGCCCACTCGGGTGTGCTTGCTGGCCTGTTCGTGTACAGCAATGCACTTGCACCCTTCTGCAGGAGTAAATTTTGCTTTGCCAAGTTAATTTAGTCTCACCAAGTGTCTTTTTGTGTGACATCGGAATTCATTTCTAACACTGATGTGGTGCTGTAGGATAATCACGGGACTGAGAATTACAAGGTCAGTGGTTCACACCAGCTTCTGCTCAGAAATTCTGTACCGGGTTGAGGGAGAAGACCCCTGCCCATAAAACCTTGAGGTCTAGCTTTAAGACCTTTAGGCCTAGGAAAGAGGGGGAGGCCCCTTGCCCATAAGACCTTGAAGTCTAACCCCATAAGACCTTGAGGCCTAACCCTAAGGTCTGATCACTCTGGAATGTTACAGTTTCTCTGAATTTGCAGAAAACTAACAACTTCTTCTGATTTTGTAAAAAACACACTATCTAGGAACCACCAATGAGAAAGTAACACGGTGGTCTCACCACTCAGTCCTGTGTAATCCTATATAAACCTTATAGGAAAACTGTTTTGGGGAGCTGGTTTTCTTTGGGACGTTAGTTTGCTGACACTCCGCTGACAATAAAGCATCTTCCTCTATTATCGCTGATGTTCCAGTGATTTTTTTTCTCCTGTTCGGGCCTTTTCTTGCTGCAACAGGGTCACTATGAATTTGAACTGACTAGAAGGCACTTAACAACAACAACTTATTGCTCAGACAGGTGTGCCATTATGGCCAAAGCAACCTCCTGGGGCAGAAAGGCAAGTACACAGAAAGAACCAAAACAAAATGAATGTGTGTGTGAGAAATTCTCAAGATGGCCTATTTTCAGGAATACAAGGCTCATGAGATTGCTAGGCCAGCCAGACATAGGTTGTTAATTCACACCCAGGGATATATAAGGAGGGTGAATTGGGGGAAGGGTGGAAAGAAATTTGTTCTCGGATTTGTTGTTGTTATGTGCCGTGGAGTCGGTTCCAACTCATAGCGACCCTGTACAGGGTTTCCGAGGCTGTAAATCTTTACGGGAGCAGAAAGTCTCATCTTTCTCCCGTGGAACAACTGGTAGTTTTGAACTGCTGACCTTGTGGTTTGCAGCCCGATTCGTAACCACTACCAGAGCTTAAATAAGAATATAGTCATTAAGACCCTGGGTGCCATCTTGACTACTCTATGGGGAGAGAAAATGGGATGCTTGGGAAACTGGACCTGGAAGATTGGCTTTTTAGAGACAGGGGAATAAATCAGTTTATAGGCACGCCATGCAGTGCCCAGTTTTGCAAAACCAAATAAAGAAAATCTCAGTTTTGCTAAAATGAGTACAGATTGGATTACTTGAACATTTATTGGTCTCAACGTTTCTCACAACTATTATTACCATAGTCTCCCCTGCCCCACCTGTTCTCCTCGCCTGTGGCCTTAAGCAAAGTGGGATGTCTGAGCAAGGCAGTGAGAAAGGTCAAACTAAAACAATGGCGGGGAGGGAGGACAGGAAGGGCAGGGGATGAGGGTAGTAAGAAAGGGAAAGGGATGCAGCCTTTCAGCACACCAAGAACAAATTGCTCATGCTATCCTGGTAAACTGGCAATAGGTAGAGATTTGGGGATGTGTTAGGAAAAATCAGAGGTCAGGAAAATTCCTGTATCCTTCCCTGGACGCACCCATTTGCTCCTCAACTCTGCTGAATATGTTTTCAAATTTGGAAGCCAAGGTAAGGAACAGAATTATATCGGCACTTTCTAGGAAATGGAAAAGATGGAAGATATGGGTCACCCCTGGTCAAGTGCAGCCCAAGCCCACATACATCCAAACTAAAAAGATCATTACTCATTCCCTTAGTGCCCTGCAGGGATGCTGGCTGAAGCTAGACAACCCTGAAAGTGGTGGAGATGCTGACTAAAGCGTCCTTTAAGAGGTCCGCGGAACCAGGTGTGGTTGTGGGATGTGTCCTGACCCTGCTTGTCTTCTGCCCACTTCTTGGCTCTGCTAACTTCTCTGATGCCAGGAAAGACTCGTGTTTGGTTGCTTAGCCTTCTGCGCTGCTGCAGGCACTCTTTCAGCTTTGAGCCTAGGTCCCCTCGGAGCTAGGAACTCACGAGAGGGCACGCGCGGCTCAGAGAACCGGATTCGGAACTCAAGGAGCGTGGCCCGGGGTAGCGGTCTGGGCCACTGTCTGCAGGCTCCAACATTCCTCACAAAGTTTCCCATTCTTTCCGGTCCAGGTACCTCGTCCACGTTTCAGGGAAGGAAGAAAGCAAATCAGGAAGCCCTGTACAACACCTCCTCTCTCAGGGACCTCCTCCACGCTCTTTTCTAACCTGCCAGGGGTCACTGGGGATACAGCCAGGCGTGCGGGCACAGACTTGCCAGAGAGTCTCTGGCCACGCTGCTCCCAACCTCCTTCCTTCTCCTCCCTCCCTCAGGTGAGTCTGTGCCACGGGGTGGCTGCCATAGCTTCTTACCCAATCCTGGCACGAAAGTGTTGAGGAACAGGCAGGTGACGGCCACCAGGAAAGGCATGCAGGGGATAGCAGCGCGCAGGGGACCCTTCTTTTCGCGGACCTGCACCACCACTCCACTGGAGGAGGACGCCCCCTGGGGGTCGGCCACTGCTAGCGCCACCGCCGCTGTCTCGGCGTTCTTCTGCAAAGGCTCCATGATAGGGTGTATCCCTGGGAATCCGGCTGCCGCAGACTGAACTTCCTTCCTGAGCACTGGTGGCTGTTGGTGCCGGATCTGCTTTCCCTAGAGAGCTCAGGCGTTCAGCCCGCTCAGCGTGCCGTGCACGTCGCTGAGAATTCTGAAATCCCGAGAGTCACAGAACCCGGACCTCTGCCGCGCTATCTGCTGCGCTCTCACACGCTCCGTGGAGGCAAGTGAAGGCGGTGTGACTCTTGGTGACAGAGCTCTGATTGCCCCACCCCGCCGGATCTTTTTCACGTCCTCCTCTCCTACACCCTCCCTCCCTAAAAAAATACCCTCACGAGAAACTGTGAGTGTGAGCAATGGGAGAAAAGTAGGAAGCCGAACGCAAAGGGAGCTGGTTTTGTAGGTACTGGGAGGAATGGACCACACCTCGCCTTCCAGAGAGAGAGGTGAATGGGGAGCTCAGTCAAGGAACACCTGGAACTGGGCCTGTGTGCTAGTCTGGCACTGCTTCTATTTACAGGGAAAACCTCCTTTAATTTGAAAGACAGATTTAATAGCAAGGGAAATGGAGGAAAGGGACATGTAACAATACCTAGTTATCCTTAAACTCTTCCTGAGTCAAATGATTTTGATTCATGTCACAGGAAAAAGTTATCCTGGATCAATAATAGACCTGATCTTGTCATGAGAACCCTTCTTCCCCTGTTCCCACACCGCACACACAGA